TCAAGCTATTTTCCAAGGTACCTAAAGGCCAGACAAGGAATAATGGATGGAAACTGACCTAGAACTCATTCAAGGGAGGAACTTTCTGATAGAGAGAGCAATCAACCGATGGAACAGAAGTTGATTTCGGAAGTTGTGGGAGCTTCATCACTTGAGGCTTTTAACAAGAGACTGGACTGCCATTTGTCAGAAATGGTGTTGGGTCTCCTGCTTGGGTTGGGGGTTGGACTAGATGACCTACAATGTCCCTTCCAACTCTGTTAATCAGAATTACAGCTGAATGAGTTCTAGTCCCACCGTTTGACATGAAAGCCAGCTGGGTGCCTTTGGGCCAGTCCCTCTCTCTCAGCCCATTCCACCTCACAGGATTATAGTTGTAGGGAAAATAGGAAGAGGAAAGAGCAGTAGGTATGTTTGCTGCCTTGAGTTATTTTTAAAAACCAATAGAGCTGGGATATAAATAGATTCATAAATTTTATCAATAACCTCTCTGCAGTGTCTGCAGATGATGTTTAAAGTGCTTTGCACAATTTCAGACAGACTGGGGGAATCTATGCTCTTCCAGATGCTGCCGAACGGCAAAGATTAGATTTCCCTATGTAAGTTCTGTATTTACTTTATCTAATTTGGTATAAATTCTGTATTTATTTTTATTCCTTTTTACAACTGGCTTTGCCAAATAAACTGTAAAATTGCAAAATAAAAATTAGAAACAATAATTAAAATAAATAGTAACATTAATGAAAGGAGCGGTTGTTGTTCAAAGTTGTTGAGGTTTCAAAATAATATGTTTAATCCTAATACATTAATGGATTAGAATGTCCCAGAGAATAAAAATGCCTTTTCCCTTCCTAGAACAGCTGGAAATAACACTAAGTGAGGAGAACATTCCAGAATCAGGAACCGCCATTGAAGTCAGCTATTTTTTGCAAATTTATTTGTTGTGAATGCGCTGTGCCTCACATTCCCTGAGCCAATGCAAATATTACTGCCCAACTCGCCTTAGGACAACTATTCCTTTTCTGCCTTAATCCATTACTGCAGCCACTCGTAAACTCCTTGACCCAAGCGCCCCTTTTTCTCTCTCAAATGCCATAATTCCACAAAAAAACTCAGTCTAGGTTTACACTAAGTGGGGATGCGGTGGCTCAGTGGCTAAGATGCTGAGCTTGTTGATCAGAAAGGTTGGCAGTTTGAATCCCTAGTGCCACATAACGGAGTGAGCTCCCGTTACTTGTCCAGCCTCTGCCAACCTAGAAGTTCGAAAAGATGTAAAAATGTAAGTAGAAAAATAGGGACCACCTTTGGTGGGAAGGTAACAGCATTCCGTGCGCCTTTGGCGTTGAGTAATGCTGGCCACATGACCAGTGGACAGCACTGGCTCTTTGGCTTTGAAACGGAGATGAGCACCACCCCCTAGAGTTGGGAACAAATAGCACATATGTGCAAGGGGAACCTTTACTTTTACTTTAGGTTAACATTCCAGTGACAAATTCAAACTGGATTCTCAAATTACGCACATACAATTACAAATTGTCCTATTACCCCCAGGATATGTCCAAACCACCCCACTTTAAGAACCACTGCTTTGCTCTATGTGTTGGGAGTCCAGCTGAGAAAATCCATTCAAGTCCTAACTAAGGGATTCCCAGATTCATTGAAAATTGTACGTTGCAATAGATTTCCCTTCCCTTGCAAAAATCTGTTATTCAAAGTTTAACGAAGGTACGACTCCCTCCCATCCTATCAACAGCTACGACTGCAGGGCACTTTACCAGATTTGTCTATGATGGCATCGATTTCTTCAATCACATCGAAGTAGGCCTCGTTATTTGTGTAC